TTTAGTAAAACCTACTCTTTCCTTTCTTCAAAAGGATGAATTTCTAATGTGAATTAGAAGCAACATAAAGTTGAATTAACTCTTCAATCAGTATCAGACGAATATAATTTGGCTCACAAAACACGTAATGTCCTCCATTTTGGTTTAGCCATGCCATTGTTTAGCACAATGAATGAACATTTTGGAGGAGTCCTGGTAGTGCAGGAGCTGTGGGTGGTACAGTGGTTCAAATGCAGTATTTCAGGCAAATTGTGCTCACAGCCTGGGGTTTGATCCTGATGGGCTCAAAGTTGATTCAGCCTTCTGAGGTCAGGTGGGGGCAATATGCTCACATTGTGAACCATCCAGAGAGTGCTATAAAGCACTGTGGGGCGGTATATAAATCTAAGTGTTATTGCTATAGTGTTAACATAATCTGCAGAATTGGAAATTCAGAATTCTGTTTCCAAAAGTAAACAGCCATAACCCTCTGAAAGTTTATAGTAAATTTATGGTAATAATATAAAATGGCTCAGTCTAGCTCGGTTCTTAATTTACATCTCCCAACCTGAAATGCCTCAAATCTCTTGGTATTCCATGTCCTGAAAGATAAAAACATAAAGATTCTATTTAACTACAGGAGGCAACTGACACAGCAGTTATTTTCTATAAAGTTGTCTATGCTATTGGTCATTACCAATTGTATCCTATTTTACCTTTAATACTGTATATATTATTGTGTCCTTGAAAATTTTGATGACCTAGACAAGGCAGAATGATTCAGCAATGATTTGAACTATAAAAAGAGTTGACCACTATTATTATATCAGCAGAGCTGAATTTTGTAGGAATTCTCTAGAGTCTAGAACCATACTTGGAAACTAAATGTTTGGATTTCACCTACTGGCACTAATTTTTTTTTGCAAGTGCCAGGAATGCATAATTTGCTTCAATTAAAAGAACACTGAATATTCTTTAAGTGTGTAGGCGAGGAGTTTCCCTCTATGTGCTTACAGTTGATTGTGTTAGTAAGCAATTTTAAGAAATCAGTTTAACTTTTGTTTGCATATACCCTGTTTTCCTGAAAATATGACCTACCCTGAAAGTAAGTCCTAGTTTGATTTTTACACGTGTGCCCAATATAAGCCCTGCCCCAAAGTAAGGCCTAATTAAGATCCCGCCCACTCCAGAATTCATGGGTAAAAATTAAGCTAGGGTGGGGGTGGGGGTGGTGGAGCTACTTACCTTTGGACAGTTGTAGCCAGACCTTGCACACCCCGACACCTGCCTTGTTGGCCCATTTCTTCTGCAGCCGGCAAGGTTGGAAAGGCTTTCCTGAAGGCCTTTGTAGCTGATAACAAAGCTCCGGAGCTCTGTTAACATTTGCAGAGGCCTTCAGAAAGTCTTGCTGGCTGCAGAAGTTCCTGAAGGCCTATGACAGTGAAAAGGAGGCCGGGGGCGATGCACACAAGTGCGGTTACTCAGTGGATGACATCACCTGAAAATAAGACCTGATGCCTTTTTGATGGCAAAAAAAATATAAGACAGGGTCTTATTTTGGGGGGAAACACGGGTAGTACAATGAAATATTTTCATAATAATCTTTGCAGCAGTCTTTCAGGATCTGATTTCAGCATACTAATAAATTTGAAATATAGCAATCTGTCTTCTATCTTTATCATACACTTTAAAGTATGATTGAAAACTAGCACATTACATATTAATTGAGACTTAAATTAATTCTTTTCTGCAAGATCTGATAACATGTATAAAAATAGAATCGAGAAAGATTGGAAGCTGAATTGTGTGTAGAGTCCATCAACACATGAATGCCTTTACAGCTCCCATGTCAAGAATAGGTTATATATTAAACTCTAATCAAGCCCTCCTTTTTAGATGATGTGTATTTATATGTGATCTCTGGTTAAAGTTTTCTTTAACTATTGGAAGTGCTTAATTCCCCACCCCCACCATAGCAATGGAATAGTATCTCCATTTTTTGGTCCATAATTGATTCAGTGCTGTTTTTTCACACTGAACCTCACTTTATACAATATAAAATTCTTACATGAAAGCATCTGGATAAAATTTTAGATCTTGATGTATATATGTAAATTGAAATTCATGATATTCCCATAACTGTAAATATTATTGTGTTTACACAGGATAGAATCTTTCTCGACTTTGCTTATCCTACACAATGATTTTATATTTTTCCTACACAATGATTTTACATTTTTTTCAAGATCATTTGTTCACAGCCCTATGTTTCAGGGCCATGGCTCTTCTCTGGAAAACCTTTTTGACTCAGTTCCTAATGATATGAGTGCTTTGTATCATAGCTACAAGGACACCCTCCTCTACCGTTTTAATTTTTTCTTGGCTAGAGCAGGGGGCAAAGTATCAATTTAGTATTTCAGTCAGTGTATGTGATTAGTGATGCTCCTTTATGATCAATTGTCTGTTCAGGATTACCAGTAAAAAAAAAAATCTCTGCTTTTAAAAAGTTTTCTCACCCTTTCTTTAAAAAAAAATTGCTAAGGACTTTAAAGTATGCTGTTGAGCTAGTATAGTTCTTGAACTTTCTCTCTTTTCTGTTCATCTTGGTGAATAAGAATTGAGAGGATTACTTACAGTGAATGTACTGAAATGTAATTATCTTGTGAGAATCTTTCCCATACATAAAATGGTAAATTGGCAAGGCTTCAGATTTTTAAGCTTCGGTACCAAGCCTACTAGTTGGTTACTAAGTCACAACAGCCTTCTGTGAAGTTCTGTCATAGTTTGGAAATGATGACAGACTTTAGGCAGCCAACTATACAAAATAAAATTCTCTTTGGCCAGAATTTCTCTCCTATCTTTGGCTGCCTGGCTATTTGGGACAAACCCTTTATAGCTTTTTATTTCGCACCCATAAATTGTAAACTCGTGTTCAACTCATTTTGAAGCCTATTCTGGTTCTCCTTATTCAGCTCTTTGTCACATTTATCCACCGTTCTTTGGTTCCTCTCTGCCTCATTTCTTGTAGACTCCACATTGTGTTCACTTCTCCAATCCATCTTTTTCTCTTATTTCCACTTCTATCTTTATTGAACATGCTTTTTTGGGGGGTATTTTATCTATATCTGCTGACTTGATTCTCTCCATTGTTAAAAGAAAGGCCTTCTTTTCTTCTCCTTCTCTTTTATGTTCTCCATTTTCTTTCCAATTTTGTTTTTACTCACTGGTACATTTTTCCTCTGTACAGTACCTGCACATTTGCTCTCTCTTTCATTTCATTTATAACTTCATTTCTACCAAAAACTTCTTCCTTTCTGAAAGGCTCTTTCATGACAAAACATCTTTGCAATTAACTATTTTCACAGTACTTTTATTATGAGCTTGGACAAGGAAAAGGTTTTGCAAATGTCTTATCCTAACCCACAATTCTTAACTTTCCTTGGTAACAGAATAACAGAATTCAAAGAGATCTTGGAAATCTTCCAATCCAACCCCTGCTCAAGCACCCTATACCATTCCAGACAAGTGACTATCCAGTCTCTTTTAAAAAGCCTTCAGTGGTAGAGTACCCATAATTCTGAAGACAAGGTGTTCCTTGATTAATTGTTCTCACTGTTAGGAAATTTCTCCTTAGTTCTAGTTAGCTTCTCTCCTTGATTAGTTTCCATCCATTGTTTTTGGGGTTGCCTTTTGATGCTTTGGAAAATAGGTTGACCCCTTCTTCCTTGTAGGAATTCCTCAAATATTGGAATATTGCTATCAGATCACTCTAGTCCTTCTTTTACTAGACTAGACATACCCAATTCCTGCAACCATTCTTCATATGAGCCTTGGGGCCCAGTGGTTAGAATGCAGTATTTGGTTTTTCTTACCTAAGTGATGGAAACATTTTTCACAATTGAATTTCATCTTGTTAGCTAGGGCCCAGTGTTCAAGTCTGTTGAGATCCATCTGGATTTTGAGCCTATCTTCTGGGGTGTTGGCTATTCCTGCAGTTTAGTGTTATCTGCAAATTTGATGAGTTCCCTCCCCCCCCCCCTCATCTAAATCCTTTATGAGGATGTTGAAGAGTACGGGGCCTAAAATGGAACCTTGGGACAGCCCACTGCTTACTTCCCTCCACTGTAGATTATTAACCTGTGGTTTGTCTCTAGTCTTTTCATCTTCTCTTCCAGGGGGAACCAGTTAGCCTCTACTTGCAGCATTTGTATATGGCACATCCTCTGCAGATCAGAAGCATCGTTCTACATGCATGTTATTCAGATTAGGAGAATAAAAGAAAAATGTTTTCCTATTGATGTCTACTACCATCTTCCATTTGTTCTCCCTGTACACTTACCAAAATGCTTTGTTTTGGGCAAGCAATAGATGGCTGTATATTGTATGATTTCAGGGGCAGACTTGCCACTCATTGAATCCACTTCTGTTCTCCGTTTTCCACCAAAGATCAAAAGGTAGCATTAAAAAAAAGATTTTCAGCCATGATGGCATGCGATGCCTTCTTTTCCCTGAAATGCTAAACTCCGATTTGTATATCAAAGGCAATTTATTTATACAAAGACCATGAAGAATTTTTAATCAGAGACAAGGTGAGTTAGACAATGGTTCCACCTTGAAGGAATTGAAAAACACCCTGAATTTTCCAATTGTACATTGGCTTCAGGATTTGTAGAGTTAGAGCACAGCCCAAGAGAGCTATAATGAAAAAGAATTCAGTGCTGGGAATTATGAAGAAAAAATATGCAAAAATAAAACAGTTATGTTCAGCTAAAAATATAATGCAGGAAAGAGCATGGGATATCCTTTCTGCATAGTGATCTTTTTTTAAAAAAAAAAATGCATTTAGCCCTTATCAATGTTTTTTAATCAACCTTTTCTCACTTATTCTTTAAAGTGGAGATATTGAACAGGGTAGTGCCTGAAGAGGCACTTCTGAATTAAATTGCTTAATTTTCTCTCTGTCTGTATCGAGGAAAAAATTCTATAATCTTAATTCAATTATTTTGTTATTTTGTTTTTAGGTTAACAAAGCCATTATCCTTTGCAGACTGTGTCGGAGATGAGCTACCATGGGGATGGCAAGCTGCATACGATCGTCAGATTGGTGTCTACTATATCGACCACATAAACCGTAAGTGTTTTCTGTAAGTGCTGTATTGATTATATAAGAAGGCTTATCCAGATTAGGCTCTGCTGTTAGACTCTCAACAAGGACTTGAAAACAGAAGATTTCTTATGAGACAGTTGAAACTCCCCACAGCAATTCACTTGGTTTATTTTCTTAGGAAAAACATTATAGCTTCTACTGCTCCTGCTTTTCCTCCCACTTCATTTTGTTAGTGCTGTTATATCCTATCAAGTGCATTTCAAAATTACTTAGAATTGTCTATTAACCTTAAACTTTTATGCTGCCAATTAAAACATTATGTTTTCTGTTTGTGCAAGGAACTCCCCAGGTTTTGACAAAACATTCTAATTAATCCCGCAAATCTGCTTTTTTTCAATGACAAAACTAGGAGTTGTTGAAGAACCTTCTAAAAAATATATTCATACAAAATTGCATTAGTTATGTCAAATACCCTATGTTCTTGTGTTTTAGGCTTTCAGTATCATTGTAGAGATGGTCAAAGTGGCACCAAACACATAAAAAAGAAGTTGTAAGAGCAATCTGGTAGAAATCTCAAAAGTTTTCAGAACAGTAATAAATAATAATTTAAAAAATCTTTGGGTGGAAAAGAAGCTATTAGATTCAGAACTGGTCAACTATATCCTAAAGCAGTATAGGTAATCCTCACTTAACTATGATAACTGGGACCAGCAACTCCATTGCCAAATGACACAGTTGTAAAGCATGATGTAACATAGTCATACCAACTTATGACAGCACTTGTAGTTCCAATTACTGCTAGGCAAATCTTCAATAATTGCTACATCCCACATGATCACTGTTTCTGACTTTCTACCAGTTTACCCATTAACTTTGCTTGTTGGAAGCCAGCAGTGAAAATCGCAAATGGTGATCATGTGACAATGAGACCCTGTGACCATTAAAATTGCAAGCCTGTTACCAAGCAATTGTATTATGACCACCTAACTGCAGGGATACTGCAACAACCATATCTATGAGGGACAGTCATAAGTCTCCGTCATTCAGTGCTGTTGTAACTTTGAACAATTCGTCATTCAGCAAGGACTAATCGTACAGCGAGGACTAAATCTAAACCTAGTCAAAAAATTGTAGGATGAGGGTAGAAGAGGATTAAAGTGTTCAGAAACCCAGGTAGTAGCTTTCAATGAATTAGCAATCCATTAAAGGTTCCACTTGCATTAATATATCTACTGACATAACTTTCCTCCTGCTCATTTGTGTATTTACTATAAATATGAGAGGTATACAGTCCTGTAGTAGTGCAATACAATGTTATTCCTGGATGAGTTCCGATAGATTTCATGAGAGAAACTGTAGGGAATGATGATTAAAGTGTTACACTGGTGGGGAAACCAGGATCTAGATTGTAGTCTAACCTCAGCCATGGAAGCTTACTGTGTTACATTGGCCCAATTACTCTCATTTAGCTCAACTATCTTATAGACTGTTGTTGAGAAAAATTAGAGTAAGGAAATGCTTTGTATGCATCTTAAACTCCTGTTACAAAAAATGAGATATAAATGTAATAAAAAATAAATAACAAATGTCATTTATGAAGACCCATAGAGGCAATTAGTTAATTGATGTGATTAATTTTAATTTTAATACATTATATTATTTTTAGTGGGCATAATGGCTCAATGATTAAAGATGATGAGCTTCTCACAGCCCAGGTCCAAGTCCCGTGTGACAGGGTGAGTTCCTGTTGCTTGCCCCAACTCCTGCCAACCTAGTAGACCAAAAGCATGCAAGTGCAAGTAGATAAATAGGTACTACCTTGGTGGGAAGGTAATAGTATTCCATGCACATCAGGAGGGGTGGGCTTCAAAAAATTTAGCAACCAGTTCTCTGCCTGGTTGTTGAGTGGGCGTGGCCATGGTGGGCATGGCTTAGTCGGCCTCCTGCACCACCCTGAGAGAGAAAATGGGCCGCAGGGAGCCATTTTTGCCTTCCCCGGGCTCTGGAGGCTTTCCTCAAGCCTCCGGGAGGCCATTTTCATCCTCCCTGGGCTCCAGAGCTTCTCTGCAGGCCAGAAACAGAACTTCTGGGAGGCCCATTTTTTGCCTTTCCAGGGCTCTGGAGGCTTTCTTGAGCCTCCAGGAGGGCAAAAACAGCCTCCCCAGGCTCCGGAGGCTCTCTGGAGGCCGGATACAGGCCCATGACTGGCCTTCCAGAACTTCTGGGAAGCCCATTTTTCGCCCTCCCTGAGCCTTTGCATGGACCCTGCGATTACCTGCGATCCAAAATGGGCCGTACGGTGACTCCTGGAGGGGCAGGGAGGGGTGGGCAGGGTCAGCCAGGGGTGGAATTTGCCAGTTCACCAAACTGGCCATAAAATTAACAACTGGTTCACTTGAACTGGTGTGAACTGGTAGCAGCCCAATCCTGCACATTAGTGTATGCTGGCCACATGACTACAAAAGTGTCTTTGGACAATACTGGCTCCCTCGGCTAAGAAACAGAGATGAATATTGCTCCATTGGGCACAACTAACAGGCGAAACCTTTACCTTTATTTTTAATTACTTTGAATACTCATCAGAATAAAAATACAGGGAATAAATTGAATGAATAGATGAAAGATTAATGTAACTTCTATAGTGAATGATAGCAATTTCGTTATTTCAAGAAAACATCAGTATAAGAACGTGAATTGTTAAAATATTTTAATGGAATTATTTCAAATAAATATTCAAAAGTTGACAAAAATAATTATTTACTTAGGGTTACAGATTAAAAAGAACAGCAATAGTTAGGAGATATTGTTCCAGAAAATTAGACTGACCCTAGAAATAAAACATTAAATATAAAATCAAATGTTTTAGAGATATTACGCCACGTTTTTAAGGTTTAGAAAATAAGCAAACAGTAATAGTATGGATTGTGCATATAGGTAAAGAAAATAGGTAGATTGGAATTTGGTTATACTTTTGTTTTCATAGGACATAACCATTAGAACAGAACGAAGATATTTGTGGAGAATTATCTCCTCACCTGTTGTGGGCTTTTGGGACTTGAACTTTTAGTAAATGTATTTTGTGGAGAGTGGTAGATTGGTGTATTTTTCCTCTTTAAACTGGTTTTTCCTCATCCTTTTTCAAGAATCAGATACTTAAAGCAGTCTCAGTGATACATTAATCCATTTGATGTTGCAATTTGAGTAAAAATTTTCTGGAGTGCAGTCGCCATTGGTATGTTGGCTATAGGAGTGGTGCTCTGAAGAGAACACCCTTTGTTTGAGTTAGTGGAAGGTAAGCTGCCTATGATAAGGGTCAGAAGCAGGTCATATGTCTTACATGGTAAAATTGAGATTATAGCTTTTAATTCACCTGACTGGAATGCAATAGCCTGATAATTATGAACTGCACTGCTCAAGAGTTTACGAAATATTTCATTAAAGTTTAACTGTAGAAATAGTGACTTAAGGGAAGCTACATTTTTACCTGTGTAATAATATATGTTTGCATTGGCAGTTACTGCTGCAACTGTTAAGGATTGTACTGTTTCAACTCCACAAATATTTCCCTCTTACTTTTTTTAGTCTATGAATAACTTGCTTTTTAAAAGAAACCTCTTAAACTCCCCTAAGAAAATAATACATACCAAACTTTTGTGTAGCCTACATTGTTTTGTGGCAGCTTATGAACTATAATATCATGGCTAAGATTTAAAGTTATAAAATGTTATTTCAATTATGATGTGTAAATTACAATTTCATTTTGTTTAACCACTAGTTACTGAATAAACCACACAGTAATTAGTGGATTTGTTCAAAATGCTAATGTTGGAAAAATGTAGAAGTTGAATTAGTTTCTGTTTGCCTAAGGATTAATTGGAACATATCATTTGATCATGCTTAAACTTTTACATTCAATTATTAAAGTTTCAGACTCACCCAAAATAGACTAGAAGCATTATATAACATAGTTTATGGCCAAATAAACCACGTATGTTAAAACATGCTTAGCATGTATTGGTTCTTGAAGTTTCTTGAAAAACAGCTGTCTTATTCCACATGTTCACATATTGTACATATTGTGAAAAATATAAATTGTAATAGTACTTATATACCATAGTCTTTATAGCACTATCTAAGCAATTAACAGAGAAAACATATTGTCCTCAACAATCTGGGTCCCCAATTTACCAATCTTGGAAGGATGTAAGGCTGAGTCAACCTTGAGCCTCATCAGGATCAAATTCCAGGCTGTGGACAGCGTTAGACTGTACTGCATTTTAACCACTGTGATGCTACAGTTCATAGCATTATACTGGAAGTAAGCAAAACTTAGCTTATGATCTTGGTATATAAATGGTGTTGTTTTTTAAAATGTCTTCCTCATCCAAATGAAAACACAGGTATAGAAGACTAACTGTAAACACACATTTTATTTCTCTTCATCACATTGGTTATTCGTGTCCATTGTTGTTCACTGCAACTTCACAGGCTCCATTGAAGATTATCAAAAGTAATGAAACAAACAGGCTGTTTTTCACAAATACTTAGCAAATACTAGCCCGAAAATACAACCTGAACATAAGTCCTAGACTGATTTTTTGGGATGGGCGTAATATAAGCCCTACCCTGAAAATAAGCCCTAGTGAAGGGACGTGGCCAGCACAGAAGGCAACCCTTCCCTTCCCCAGTCACCTCATGGAGGCTTGGCACCTTAATCACTGCCTGTGGATCAGCTGAGCCAGCAAGGGCAGGGACCTTCTCATTCTGTCTCTCTACGGAGGCCTCCCAGTGCAATGCGCTGCTGCAGCTTCAGAGCAAACCTCCGCCTTCCCTGTGCAGAATTGCAAGGCTGAAGGCTTTGGAAGGAGCATTTTTGAGATGTGCATCCAAGCAGATAGAACAATCAGCAGGGAAATTGGGGGGGGGGGGTTCCTGCTGATCGGAGCAAGGCGAAGTCTCCAGTCTTGCAATCCTCTGCAGGGAAGGCAGAGGTATGCTCTAAAAGTGCAGCAGAGTGTTGCACC